AAAATCAAAGACTTTAGCAAGATTTACTAAATCACCACTTAAATTTAAATCTACTACAGAATTCTACAGAATTTTGATTATATAACAATTATATTTTGGTATTGGCAACATTGTGGATAGGGCATGTAATGCAGATGGAGCAAAATGACCCAGCTAGAAAAAGGTATATTGATAACATCGATGAAGCCATGAGAAATATGGAATACGTGCTTGGCGGGGGAAGGCGATGGATAGGAACGACTGGAGAGATATTCTTGAGGATGCTATGACCCACACAGGATTATAATGCCAGAATAATGATGACCGGCAACATTGTAAATCTAGCGCTAAGATTAATACTATTACAGGAATTAATATTAAATTCAACAGTCTTCCGGATTGAATCGCGTCGATTATCATTACACCGAGCTTTCGACATCCTCTTCGACGTCTTCTTCAGGGCTTTCGAGGTCTCAGTCTCCCGAGCCCTCAGACACTACTACACTGATGACTAACCAATGCATTACTGGTGCTGGAACTAGACTAGAGGACAGTTCATTTATACCGTGAGTGGTTTGGGTGGAGGTTGGCGTGGGAATTAGCGTGGGGATTAGCGTGGAGATTAACACGAATATTTCTGACAGCAGGATTTTGATTGACGAGTGAAACAGATGATATTTTTTTGATGGGAGGTTCCAAGTCGAAGGTAACCGTATGCCATCATCTCTTTTCTTGAGACAATTTGGCCTTTTTTCAATTTCTATGGCTTCTCGGATAATTCTTGGTTTACAGAAGCGGATGGTGGCTATGGTTCTAGAATTTTCAAAATCAATTTTGTGGCCTGTATGAAGATGGTGTTTACCTAAAGCTGTAATTGAGTCGGAATTGCGAACAGAAATGGAATGTTCATAAATCCTGTTTTCTATTCTATAATTTGTTGGGTATATTAAAGATCGGAGCAGTCTGCACAAGGAATTTCATAAATTCCGTTTTGTTTGTGTTATGAAAAATAGGGGTTGATAATATAGGGGTGAAAATTACGGTCTGTATGTGGCTGGAGCATTACAAAGACTAAAGGGCAGGACAGTGAATTGCTATAAACCTTGACCAGTCGAAATCGCTGTCTTGGCTTGGTCTGTTGGACCCATTTTTATTTGTCAATACCCACATTTTAAACCAAAACCATTTGATTCCAGTCACAGCATCCAAGGTGTCATCAATACGTGGCAATGGGTAACTATCCTTGACCGTCTTCTTCTTCTTTTTGTGCCGCTCCTATCGGAGATTGGAAATCATCAAGGCTATTCTGACCTTGTTTACGGCTGACCTAAAGAGTTCATTAGTGGTGCAGCCATACCACTCTCTCAAATTCCGCAACCATGACATTCTTCTACGGCCTGGATTCCGTTTTCCTTCTATTTTTCCCTGCATTATATTTTGAAGTAATGCGTATTTATGTCCTCTCATCAGGTGACCAAAATATTCGAGTTTTCTTCGCTTTAGCGTTAACAAAATCTCTGGGTCTTTTCCTATTCTTCGTATTACTTCACAGTTTGTTATTCTTTCAACCCAACTAATCTTCAGCATTCGACGGTAGCACCACATCTCGAAACTTTCAATATTTTTCATGTTGTTCTGTTTGAGAGTCCAGGCCTCTACACCGTATAATAGAGTGTTAAATACATAGCCTCTCAGCATTCTTAATCGTAGAGGGATGCTTATATTTCTGTTACAGAAGAATTTTCTCATCTTTATGAAGGTGGCCCTAGCAATTTCGATACGTCTTTTTATTTCACTGTTTTGGTCTCCAGTTTCGTTTATTAAAGTTCCCAAGTATTTGTAACTTGATACTTTTTCAACTTGAGTGCCGTTTATACTAATATACGCTGGTTGTGTCATGTTTTTACTGAAGACCATATACTTGGTTTTTTTAATATTGATATTTATACCATAATTGTTGCAAGCAATATTTATGTCTGTAAGTAATCTTTGTAATTCTTCTACTGTTCTTGCAACTAGTACAGTGTCGTCCTTGACCGTAACATCATTTAATCTACACAGAATCTAGTACAGCCATCCTTCTTTTTCACCAAGACAACTAGGGAACACCATTAACTTTGTGATGGTCCCATTACACCTTGTTCCTGCAGTTCCTTTAACATTCTCTCGACTTCTCGTTTTGCAAACGGGACTCTTTTAAGAGTTCGTTTGATGGAGGCAGTATTTCCAGTGTTTATTTGATGTTTGGTTACCTCGGTTCGCCTATAATCGTTAGATATCTAGGAGTTAAAGTTGTGCTGTTAATTTTGAAGCCATCGGTGATTTTTGTGGTTGTAGAATACAATTTCTGATACTGGTGACACCCTCAAGAGTGCCCATTGAAATTTCTTTCTTTAATCGAACATCGTGATCATTGAGATTCATTATTAAGGCAGGGAACGGGTTGCCGTCCATTCTAACTAGATTTCTTGCTGGAATGATGCCTTTAGAGAGTTGTTCGAAGATTCTAAAAACAGTAGTCGGTAGGTCTGGTTATGGTTTCGCAACAACAGGTAATATGATCTCGGATCGGGCTGGTAATAGAATATCTTCTTCAACATAGATGCGGCATATTGTTTCACTAGATTCTATTGACATTAACACCACTTCTTCATCTTTAATTTGAAGAACATTTGCTTTTAAATCCAAGTTAACGTTATGAAGAAGCAAGAAGTTTGATGGAACATGATATCAGCTACTAGCATAAGATGTACGATTTTCTGCCCTCTGAGCTTCAACTCCACGTCGGTATTTCAATGAATAGGAGTTATTGTTCCGGTTGCGGTTGTTAAAGTATAACTTATCTCGCATCGATAGATCTTCGAAACATATATCATCCTTGAGTGGACTATAATGTGAGTTACGCCAATATCAATGGATATTTGACAAATTTTCCCATTAAGCTTACCAGAAATCATAAGACTTTTCTCCTTGTGCATGAAGTTGTGAAACTCTAACTACTGGGGCATTGTAGGAGCCAACCAGCTGTCGGCTGGTTTCTGCTAGACATTCATTTCTACGATGACCTATTTCTCCACACTGCCAACATCTAAGTATGGTTAGAGGACTGTTGCGGCTCCTAATTTCTAGTCGCTTGAGAAAACCTTTAAGTGTTGCTAGTTCACCAAATTTTTCATTATCGTTGGTGGCCTGAACCTGGCGAATTCTTATCTGAGGTACTTTTTGAGGCAGTTTTGTCTGCATCGTACTCTAACGCATGAGCCAAGACGTCTTCTAATGTTTTATTTCTAGCAATTCACATAACTTGCTGCATTTTGACGTCACGTAGTCCATTTACAAAATTCTGGATAGCCAGTTGATCCAGAAAGTCATCTGGGGCAGTAGGAGAGGCTAGTCTGATAAGACGTGCTATATTGACTTCAAATTCTTGTAGACACCGTATGTCTGCTGTCTGGACCTTAATTGACTTTGGTACACTTGCTGCAGATGTTTGTCCCCATACTGCTTTTCCAATTGAGACACCAAGCTGGAAAAGTTCTTTTGCTGTTTCCCAGAGATGGTCTGCAAAATATTCAGGACTTCTCGTCAGAGGAAAACTTCAAGTGCATTGGCCTTTTCTTCATCCTACCACGAATTGGCTTGTGCAGCTGCAAGAAACTATTTCAGATAAACTGACCAACTGGTCGTGCTATAGAATCTTGGTAGTTTCACTTTAGCTGTGTTAAGATGACGTGAAAATTGAGGAATAGTTGCAACATTTGCCTGACTCCTTATTTTGGCTACATCATCTCTCAATTTGTGGTCCAATTCCTGCATCTCTATTCGCAGTTGCGAGGTTTTCTCATTCATCTCTCTCTTAAATGGCGATACAGCCCAAATTTGGCCTTGGCCTGCTCCAAACTATGCATACAACCTTGCCAGTCCCGTGCCGATCATCTCCAGTTTCTCACGTCTAGCAAATATTGCGCGTCCGCTGCAACTTCATCCTCTCACCTTTTCCGTGGCCTTCCTATTGGTGTTATTTCTCATTCTCATTCATAGCCTCTTGTATCTCTGTGCGAAGTTTCATTGTGGTGTCAGTAGCGGCTTCTTGTATCTTTTTACGTAGTTGTGTAGTAGTAACACGCACTTCTACTCGAAGTTCTTAATTGGTTTCTTGTATCCTTGGCTTGCGTCCTGCCAATTTTGCAAACATATCTTCTTTAAGGCCACCTAACTGTTCCGTGATTGTAGCTTAATTTTATTCTACATTTTACTGCAAATCAGTCTGGTTTTCGGTAATGTTACTTTTAAATTTTCTTGCAATATAGTCATCAGACCCTGCAGCATACAAGCAATCTTGCAATTGCAGAAAAGCATCAGGAAAAAGTAATTCCAGACCAACAAGTGTTCAATCACAAATTAATCTCTTAATTTGTACAGAATTACATTATCACATTACACATATCACATTATTCTTTACTTCTTAACCTTTATGGTTTCACCGTGTATAATTAAGAGATTGTTAAACATATCGAGTAATATTTTAATAATTAGAGTACATTCAACTTGCAGACTTATTAAATTGCCGAATAATATATTTTCTAATTGAACTTCCTAAGTGTTGCAATAACGGCCTACACTAAATTGTATTGTAAGCTCATAGTTCAAATTTTCTTAGTATGATAGAAATATTAACCTCTGTGCTGAGGTATACATTGTTTGTGAAATTATAAATTGGAGATTTGAAAAGCCTATATAGAAAGTTACCTAACTAACATCTATAGTGTAATTATCAGTAACTGTCAATAAAACTATAATTTTTACTCCACGACTTCAACATTTTATTGTATTACCATCGCCGACGAGAAGAATCGAACAAAGGGCATTAGAAAACAATTCGATCATGATATTTACATCGAATCTGTAAATTGGTCCTTCGAGCCGGAAGCTAGTCTCCACTGACATTTAATTTTCCATTTAAAAAATCCGCAACAGCTTGTTTCATTTCTGTAGCTTAGATAAGTGAATAAAACGTCTTATATTCGAATCATACTGTTTATTTCGTAAAAGACATGTACATCTTTATCATTAAAGAATATTGCAAAACTAAATCAAGCACTTTTGGTTCGATCACAGTAAATCACTGATTAATATCAATTAGTGTAATACATTATAAGCTTATATTAATTATGCGTAACTTAGAAACAAATTGGAACCAACGCTGTCGTCAACTCGTGCTCCGTATCCAACACATAAATGAACAAAGAAATAGAAGACAGTAAATAGGTTCGTTCCAATTTTTTTTATAACAATCCATCATCTGGTTATCGCAATGCGAATTATCACAAAGGCGTCCTATCAAAAAATAGCTGTTTATGGTTCAAACAAAACAAAAACAAAATTTAGTATAAAAATATGATAGTCGAAATTATTTATCCTACTAGAGGTTTTCATATCCCTAATGATTTGTGTGAATCTATTTAGAGAGAATTTAAGATATCCCAAAATGTGGTATTTTAGAACGAACCTACAGAGACGGAATATTGAAACTAATATATGGCGTTTGACTAAGGCTTATAAAATTTAATAACTTTCCCAAAAATCATCTAATGCTACGAAAAAACTCATAAAACATATTTTATTTCGACTTTATTTCTTCATTTTTTACAAATAAGTATGTTTTTTGAGGTTTTATTTTTATTTTTTTGTCGATTTTTTGGTTCATTAAAGTTGTCACAGTGATAGCCAAGTAAAAATAGTGTCTTAATTACTATCATTCTTTACCGCAATTATAAAATTATTACCGTAATTCAACCCTTGATAATACTTCCTACTCCAACTCCAACCCTACCCCATTAGAAATACAGACAGTACTCTATCTACTATTGACAGAGAATTGAGCCAACAGACGTACGCTCTCTTGCATGTTGTCTATCGCTAACAACAGACATTCTCTCTCTCTCTCTCTCTCTCTCTCTCTCTCTCTCTCTCTCTCTCTCACTTTTTCGCTTTTAGTTAGGCGAAAATTACCGCGAATCCTCTTCTAAATCGTATACAGACGCGAATGTGTTCTATCTCGTAATCTCAGTGTTAGTACCGTGAGACACGTATTCAGATACCGGTAAAGACAGCTTCTACATACAAAGAACAACCGCAAGTGTAAGCCTGTAAATACCGCGGGTGTGCAGCACAGGATTGGTAAGACTTTTTATAAACTTGATTTGCTATTATCTGTATAACTCCTTACTACTTATCCTAATTTATTTGAACCAGCCTTATGTAATACAGTCCTCATACACCAAAATTATATTCATAATTTCACATATGTACACCCCTTTTTGTACATATTGTGGTCCTTCAAGCCGGATCTGAACCAACGACATATGCATCTATAGTCCAAGTACATTTCTCTCACTTCTTTAATAATAAACACCACAATCAGGTCACTTTTACACATAATTTTTTTTTATTTCTGTTTTAATCAAATTTCGGAATAATCTGAAACAAAATATGCCTTATGTACTTTTACGTGATATTAGTTTATTTGGAAAGTTATATGTAAGCTACACCCGCCTTGTGGCGCCATATATTCAGGAGTCACGGAAGATTAAAATAAAATTACCTACAACATTTACGATTTGGCTGGAACGAGTCAATCGGCATATTTGTTCAAATACTGGTAGAAATTCTGTAGAAACGTTTAACTGTCTTTTGTAACTATAATAATTAAAATTATACACACAATAGAAAAGAGTTAACAGTAACTCCCATTGTCAATGATTATAAAAAAACAGTGATTACATTTTGAATCGTCAATTCTCTTTGTTTACTCATTTTACGTTTATTTAGGACTGTTATTAATATACAACAAATTATCGATTCTTCAACGGATTATCACCGTAGCAACGGATTAGTGCCGTAGCAGCGGATTATCGCTTTATTATTAGCAGATAATCGCGTAGTCAGCGTATATCGCTGTGTACGTGATTTATAGGTTCGACAGTGGAATATATATAATCATCCTAGCAGATTATCAAAATGCCTCGGCGGTTTAAAATTTTAGTTATTTTTTTCTTCCAAAGTCATTAAATTATTTGAAAAGACCATTTCTTACAGAATTTCTACCGTCCTTTCTTAATAAAAGATACTCTCTGTACAAATAATGAAACGTTTCGTACATTTACAAAATTAATTTAAAATACATCCAGTTTCATCTGGATAGACTCCTGCACGGCCTGGCAAGAGAAACGGCCTCGTCTGCGTATTGGCCGCGGGTGACTTTGGCGAAGAACGGATGAAGCAACGCATCTCGCAAAGAGATCCTTTCCGCAGGGTCGTATTCTAACATTCGGAAAATAAGATCGAAGAGCGAGTTGTGATCCGATTCTTCGGACTGTTTATATTTCTGGAAGAAAAAATAGATGGTTTTTATTTACAGTTATAAGAAGTAATGTAATGTTATAATCTGTCTAATTCAGATTTTTAACAGGCGTTTAATCACCAATTATGAGGTCGAAAACTGTTAAATTCTCTCAATTCAAACTCTTCAGAGACCAGATATTGTTAAGTGATTTCTTTTTATTTATTTTATATAAATAAAAATTTTATATGAAAGTTCTTTATCTCAAATTTTGACGATAGAGAAATTATTTCACTAAACCTTCAACTTGGGGGCAATTATTAAACCTTTATATAAATGACAATCTACTAATTTAATGCCAGTATATAGGGCTATTAAATTAAACTTAAAACAAAAAAATAGATTAACTTACCGATAAATGTTTACAATTGTTTTTAACATATCGCCCCGCTGCACTCTTTTCATCCCACTCCAGTTTTCCTTTGTAGAAGTACCTTGTCTTCGTTCGTTTCGCCATACTGTAAAGAAATATATATTTAAAAAAAGTTGTATGTTTCTGTACAATATTAGGTAATAGCTGAACCGGCGAACCTCGTACCACCTTGTAATTAAATAATGTGCTAAAGTTCAGTAATTAAAAATACTCAAAAACATTCTGTACCAAAAAAATTAATAAAATGAATGCTTTCTGATAAACAATATTTTTGGTATTTTTTTATGTGCGTAAATATAAAACAAGGACGGTTTTCCATATCTCCGGTATAATTGTCCATGCGCGAAACATGGAAACTCCAAGTTGATTCTGCAAACTTATACCAATTGGCATTTCAATTTGTTTTTCGTTATTGCAAATGCTTCAGATGCTTAAAATCAAATGGTAAGTTCGTTGGAATCATCGGTATACACAGGATCAAGACATCCTCGCTTGTGTATTTTCCCTCAATGATCGTTGTCTTAATGACATTATTCATTAGCTTTTTCACAGTCAATCTTGTTCCACTGCGCAGTCAAGGTTGATTAATGTTACGCAGCATAACAACGGATCCTACTTTTAATTGTAAATTGTGGGGTGGGACTCAGATAGATCACATTGTGTTGTGCTCGCTGTGATGTGCATGAACTTTGTCCATTCTAAGCATATCCACTTCACTTTCTATTACTTTAGAACGAAATTCTGAGATGACATTACGCCTATTATCATTTTCTGCATCTCGTTGCTCATCAGTACGGTTAGCAAGTCATATAGCTCGTCGCATATTTGCTTGACTATAAAATATGTCAGATCGTCTTCTCCTTGGCATTGTAAATTTAAAAAGGAACATTAACGTTGTATATGTTCCCAAATTCAATATCGTTCTAACTTGGTTCAAAAGGAAAATACGTACCAAGTCTTTAGACTCTAAGACCTTCGAAAGTTAACGCACAGATGGACAGATAGACAGACGAACAGATAACGACACGATTTCAAGAAGGAGTTGTAGGATCTTTCTTCTTACGGTGAGAGAAAACGAGTGCATTTAGTGAGAAAACGAATTGCAACAAGCTATATCTCTGCCAAATTTTCATAATCTTCTTCTTCTTCTTCTTTTGGCATTATAACCCTGGATGGTCTTTGCCTGTCTAGTTATGTCCTTCCATTGAGATCTCTCTTGTGCCTTCTCCTCCATTGTCTTATAATCATGGCTTTCAGGTCATCTTCCACGTCATCTAACAATCTCGGCCTGGGCCTTCCTTTTTTCCGCCCTCCTACCGGCTTCCACTGTAACATCTTTGTCGTTTTCGTGTCATCTTGTCGCTTAATATATCCCAGCCATGACAGTCTTTGACTTTTCCCAAATCTTACAATTTCATACCCTTCATTCAATTCATTAACCTCGTTGGTTCTCGTGATTATCCACGTGCGGTCTTCTTCTTGCACCGAGCCATATACTTTTCTCAGTATCTTCCTCTCGAATTTCCTGAGTTGGGTTTTCTCTTTCTTCGCCATTACCCAGGTTTCACAACCATAGGTTACTACGGGTCTAATCAAAGTTCTGTAGCTAATCAAAGTTCTGTAGATAATCATTTTGGTTCTTTTGTCTAATAATTTCTTTGTCATCAATCTTTTATTAGCATAGTATTTACGATTTCCACTGGAAATACGTGCATTAATTTCGCTACTTACGGAATTATTCTGATTGATTTCTGTGCCCAGATATGTGAAGGCATCCACACGTTCAATAGTATAGTTGTCTATTGCTATATTATTTTCATTCTTAGGTGTTCTTTTGATGGTCATGTACTTAGTTTTTGTTTCGTCTATTTTAAGCCCTCTTTTTAGTGCTTCAGGATCAATTTCCTTGAATGTTTCCATTAGTAGTGGCTTGCTTCTACTAATAATGCAGTAATTTGTACGGTTTTGGTGTTTATATGGCCGGTTACATTGGTTTTTCTGATGACTGCTTCAAGAACTAGGTTGAAAAGTTTGGTTAAAAGTGCGTCTCTCTGTCTCAGCTCCATGTTGATGTCAAATAGGGGAGACAGTTCTCCATCTACTCTAACTTCAGCTTTTGTACCCAGCAACGTCATTTTTATGAGGCTGATATATTTTTTTGGTATACCTAGATTTCGGAGGTCTTCCAGCATTTTGTCTCTTTTCACGTTATCAAAAGCTTGTTTAAACTCTATATACATATTATATAGTTCTATATTCTATAGTCATATTCATAAGCTTTCTCTTGTATTGTTCTAAGTATAAATATGTTGTCTGTAGTGGCTCTATTTGGTCTGAATCCATTTTGATAATCACAAATTACATTTTCGGAGTATTCTGACAATCTAGTGTTGCCAGAAAGGATTTTGTATATTACATTTAGCAATGTAATTGGTTTGTAAACTTGGCATTCCCTCTTATCTCCTTTTTTATATATTGGCTGTATAAGACCTACTGCCCATTTCTCCGGCATTTGCTCCTTGGTCCATACCAACTTTATCAGGTAAGGGACTCTTCCCCACAGTTCGGGTCCTCCATATTTCAACAATTCTGCCGAAACTCCGTTCGTTCCTGACGCTTTACTGTTTTTTAGTTTCTTTATTATTTGAACTACTTTTTCATAACTCAGATTTTTAATGTCCTGCTCCGCTGTAAAATATATTGTCTCGTTTTGATCATTTCCATTGTCTTCATTTAGGTTTCCCTCAAAGTATTCCTTCCATCTCATTATAATTGTTTGTTTCTCTGTTAGTAGTTCTCCGTCTTTGTTTTTGGATATTGTCAATTTTGCTCTAAATGACTGTGTGCTTTCTTTTATTCTTTTATTCTTTTATTCTTTTATTCTTTTATAGAATTTTCTCTCTCATTGTTATGTTCTAGGATTTTTTGTACTTGTTTTTTTAAAGCCTCTCTTTTTTGTCTTCTGCATATTCTAGTCGCTTGTATTCTCTTTTGTTATAAATTACTCTGCTATTTCTTGTGTTTCTTTGAAGTTGGTTAAGCCTAGCTTGCCTTTTTTCCTCTACTGCAGTTCTGCATTCATCATCATACCATTGCGCATTTCTTTGGTTTTTGGCTTTTCCGACAGTTTCCTCTGCAGATTCAATTTTTATTGTTTTAATTGTTTTATTGAATCCTTTACCATTCCATTTTGTTATTTGGCTATTGTTCCCTTTTGCCACTCTCGCGATTTTCTGCTGCAATTTTGCCCCAACAAGATATTGATCTGAGTCAAAGTTCGCCCCGCGATACGTTCTGACATTAGTTATGCCTGTTGCCCATATTTTAAGATAAGGATGTAGTCAATTTGATTGGCTTCATTGGTTCCTGGTATTTTCCATGTTCCTATATGGATATCTTCTCTTTGGAAGTTAGTGCTGACAACTACATAATTATTTGCCGTTGCAAATCGTCCAACCCTAAGTCCATTTTGACTGGTTTCATTATGCAAACTATGTTTCCCAAATATGTTAACGAAAGCTTCTTCTTTCCCCAGCTTAGAATTAAAGTCGCCTAATGTTATAATAGCATCTTGTGTGGATTTTATCACATACTTCCTGAAGTTCTCCATAGAATCTTTCAACCTCGTCTTCAGCAGATTCTTCCATCGATGCATATACATTAACTGTTGTCACGTTATGCAGTTTACCTTTGAGTCTTATGGTGCAAATTCTGTCTGATGTTGGTGTAAATGCGATAATGGGTTTTCGCAGTCTTTTGGTTACTATAAACCCTACTCCTCTTTTACCTTGCCTCATTTTATTTCCGGAGTATTATAGTGAAAACTTATTTTTACGAATTTCTCCGTGGCTCTTGTATCTGATTTCCTCCAGTGCCAATATTTCAACCCCGTATTTTTCAATTTCTTCTTCGGCCATACTTATCATAGCTCCTGCCTTTAAGAGGGTTTGTATATTCCAGGCTCCAAATTTTAAATCCATAATCATATCAATTTTTCTTTGCTGACTGCGTCATTTTTCATAATATGGCCCAGATATTAAAATTGTCATGTTAACGTTACTATATATATTTACAAGAAGTAGAATGGATGGCGTCCTGCGATTCTGCGATTCTGACACCTCGATCGATAGCTGTCCAACTCCCATTCTATCCCATTAGGCGCCTTTTACAATGAGATGGCGTACGATTTGGATGTACGAACCTAGGCCTCTGATAGACAGTCGGGTCCTTAAAAACTAGTAAATATTCTGCTGTTATCTTTCTGTTTGTTTTAAAAAGCATCATGTTGCTAAAAGTACATAAAAAATGAAACTAACCAACCTGATTGGAATTTCTCCTATGATCCTTTGCATCATCGCTAAATGTTCTCTATTATCGTGAGTCTGGAACAATGTAATACCTAAGTATAATTCGAATAATATACAGCCTATCGACCAAACATCGCACGGTTGAGACCATCCTAATTCTGAAAAGAAAAATAAAAAAATCAGAAAAATAATATAATGTCTGGCAGCTCGAAGAGTAAATAATTCTATTATATCGTTTAGTATACAGTTACTGTTTTTCAAAATATCACTGTTAGTCCAGACGAGATCTGTTTTGAATTGGTTATTTCCATACGAGTCTATTTTTTTGCTGGAATCACTTCAGGATGTACCTTGTGCTTAATTTTTTATCTAAAAAAAAACGAAAATTTTTACTCTTGGTACCTATATTTTCGCCTATAAAAAGCAACAATTTTCGATTTTTTGTTTTCAGATAATATTAAATATCAAATTAAGCATAAGATTTGCGATTGACGCATATCGTAATTATTGATACACGGTACATCCTGAAGTTATTCCAGCAACAAAAAAATAGAATCCTATGGAAAATGTTCAATATGGTCTGCTTTTCAACAGATCCCGTCTTGACTATGTTCCACTTATTTCTTACCTAAATGCTTACTTTGTGAGTAAAATTTGTCCTATCTATAAATAAAGAGACAAAACGGATTGCGAAAACTATAGAGATATAGCACTATGAGAAGTAGTCTATAAAATACTTGCAAAAATTATTAGGAAAAGATTAATAAAATATGACAACAAAGTAATTGGAGAATACCAGGGAGGTTTTAGACCAGAAAGGACAACTACTGATCAAATAAGTATGAATACAAAATAATGGCTACGAACAAAACTTAGGATTACATGTGTTATTTATCAATTTTCAACAAGCATATGAATCATTACTGAAACAAATTAACAAATCCATTACTGAAAGCAAAAAATGTGTCAAGAACAGCTAAACTGCGAGACAGTAATCAGCCCCACAGTGATGTATACCAGGAAAAGGTGCTCAGAAAAATCTTCGAAGTAATAAAGACGGCAGAGAATATTTGGAGAAGACTATCAAATAAAGAAATAATTAGTATATATGAAAAACCAATAATTACGGCAAAAATATGAGTGCAAAGGGCTAGATGGCTTGGTCACATTATACGAATGCCAAAGAATCGAAATGTTAAAACAATATTGAAGGAGGGAAAAATGGGGAAAAAAAAGAAGAGTATGTCCAAAAGAAGAAATGTTTTTTGTGCACAAATCACAAATAAGTAACATAATTGATTGATGTATTGTCATAATGCAGCACCCTGTACCCATTTCGCTACAGCACCGGTCTTTTTCTTCGCTCAGCCTTCACAGGTGTTTATTTGGTTATACTTTATTCACACCTGTCTCATATGCTCATATGCGATATTCCCTATTAGCGTTTCTTCGGCTTTATAATAAAGCGCCACTTTAAAGTTTCACGCCGAAATAATAGTTATCCCTATGCGTCCAGATCGCACAAGGTAAGAGGTTATATTTTGCAATTAACTTTAAAGCTAAGCTAAAAACATTACAGTGGTCTTTGAAACTGTGCCTCGACGTAATCACGTCTATCAGATGGATTTTCGAAGACCGTCACTTATAGTAGGATCAAAGCCCTGCTTGTGTGTACCAAACACTCTTGTCGGTGATCAGCTTAGAAGTCAGCTAGAATGTGAATAACCAAGCATTTGAATGACGAAACATATGGAATTCGTATAAAGCCTATATCTGAAGTATGAAGACATTTATTAGTCTCCAAGATGTCAAGATATTCTCTTAGTTATCGTTAAGCGAAAGTTATTTAAGGCTATATTTGGTATATTCTAGTTGGCATTCAAAATAATAAAATGGCTAATGATACCTAATATGTTTCAGCTTTATTTGGATAAAGAAGAAATGATACAGAATATGCTCCGTAGGTGTGGAGCAATTAACTAATAAAAATTACTAAACATCGGTGAGTATGTTCAAACAACTCACCAAGTAATGGCAATACATTCTAAAAGGATTTTAGAGTTTATTTCATCTCATAATTAATCACATAAAAACTTGATGAAGCCCAGTTTCGATGTGTGTAGGTGAAATCAAGTATCAATTTAACCAAAAAAAAAAGTTTTAAACTTAAAATAACCTTTTCAAGCAATTCAAAGTTAGAATATCAATAAGAACCATTAAGTATTTCTATGGCGTCATAATTCTTTCATTAGAAATGTGAGGCGCAGTGAGTAGGAAAAAAATATTTATCATTTTTTTAATCGGAATATAAAATAAATATACATTTAAGTTGTCAACTAACCATAATAAAATGCATTACTGTCTGTATCTAATGTTGGTAGACTGCCAAAATTAACTAATTTCCAACAATATGTTCGTATGAATCGGTAAGTTTTTAATATCAAATGCATTCGCCGAAATTATAAAGGAAAGTGAACATAAATTGGTGAATATAAATTATAACACAGCCGAGGGAAATATATGTCCAGTAGAAAGTATATGCCAAAACTTAGATGGAAGGATGGAGTTGAAGTTGCAAGGTAAATTGGTGCGACAAACTGTCAACCTTTGTCAGTGAATAGGACTGAATGGCGAAGGACTTGGGAAAGGCGAAACTTCAAGACTATACCACCAGTTAGGATAATGATGAATATAAAATAATCTATAAAAATTATTAACTTACCCAAAATAACTTCTGGTGCTCTATAGTGACGTGTCGATACTATCGTACTGTGATGTTCGTGGTCGAATGTAGCACTACCGAAGTCTATTAATCTCACGTCAGTTCTTTTTACCCTCCGCACGTCTTTCCTCTGGAAAATTAAATAAAAAATAATAAATTTTAATCAAATAAAAGACAGATATCGAGAACAGTTTTGTATCTTGCCCAAGTACTTTCGCTCTTAGAGTATCTTTAGGTGCATCATAAATAAGATGTTTTAGACTTACTTCGTCAAAACTATAGGCTATCCAACAATTTTATAAATGTCATAAACATTAAACAATACATTTACACAACACTAGACAAAGGACAAACAGTTTCAATTCTTTTTAAATTTGAAGAAGCTACATAATTGGTAACAGCAGGGGAGAGAATGGATTTTGGTCTTAAAGGAAATATTAAAGTGGCATCTGACATTTGATATCTTGGATGAGCAGTCACAATCATAGTGATGTGATCATAAACAAATGAATTATGTTAGAACATCGAAAACTGGAAAAATAAATTGACTTGTTTGGGATTATTCCATAAAAAGTTCCACATTTTTCATAAAAAGACCACTAAATTATTAGGGTTAGTTCATAATTGTTTTAAAAGTTTAACCATTAAACATTGAATTGTCTCTTTTTAGTGATTACGTCACCAAAATATAAAAACTTTAAACAGATACCTTAGTCCAATATCTTCCAAAAATGTATTAATTTAAGATTAGTGGCTAAGACAATAAATGGAGGGGTGAGACACTTATAATAGTATAACGGAGAAACTGAATTAATTAGTACTCTAGTTTACCGATTAACTTACCTTTTTTACATCGTACACCAAGTCGTATGATGAATCTACAAAGAGTATATTTTCCGGTTTGAGATCTGTATGCGTCAGTCGGTTTTCGTGAAGAAATTTGACTGAATAACACAACTGATATCCGATATGTCTAACTTGGTCTAGTGGATACGGTTGGTAATTGTTATCTTTCTGAAACAAAAAATTACTTAAAAATGTTAGCAGTATGCTATTTTTATATTTAAATGTCGTCTTAGCAAGGGATATGATATTATTATCACTGTATATCTAAATAGAAATAATTCTACTTTAGATTTCGTCACTTGGATCAAAATCGAACTAGCTCGCGAAAGTAAGGTAGGTCTTCACCCTTAAGATGCCTTCCCAGAAGTGTCTGTCCTTTCTTCAGGAAATTACCAGCTCTCCTAAAAAAGTATTAGTGGCATATGGTCAAACTTTTTCTAATTCAAGGTAGACTAAAATGATACCTAATGTAAGTTGACACATACAAAAAAAACGCAGTATTAAAGTTAAGCGTACAACAGAAGAGTTTGCCAGACAATCTATACGACCAGAAAATTTGCTTAACAGCATCTGGATATAATATTACATAATAATAATAATAACCTACGACATATCAGCAACAGCTGTCAATCTATTGTAGTTGAAGTACCTACTATTATAAAAAATAATACCTCAATCAACCATGGAAGCTATCGCATACGCCTTACCTAGCTCAGTATCTCAAGTGTGAGTTCGTCTTGTCTTAAACTAAGGATGGAACCTAAACTCTTAGCTGATAGCAAATAAGACCCATTTCAAAAAAACATATTTATTAAAAAAAAAATAAGAAACAGTAATTAACCAAATAGACATTTAAATGCAACGGAGAGTTTAATACCGTCAAAAGGTCTAAACTTTGCTATTACTCATACATATATTCCAAAATTAGGATTATTTACCTCATAGAGAAAGTATTCCAATATTTAACAAACTACGGAAAAGGATAGTAAAGGGCAGCACTGATACGAGCACAACTCTTATGGAAATTAACATGGGAAAATCGCTAAGGTCCATTCTGGTCATTTTTGACGCTTTTTGTGTTGGGAGTAAAACGGCTTGTCAGATCGTGACATATGAGGTATCGTCGAAAAGGGGAGGGGGTAATGAATACGTTAACACAAAAAACAAAGATGGCGGCATAGTCAAAACGGCACTATAACGTATCTCCGGGTCTATTGGTCCGATTGTAACGTATGAGGTGTCAAACGAACGGAAAGGGGATGGGGAACACGTAGAAAGAAAAACAAAGATGGCGGTATTGCCAAAACGGCACTAAGCTGTTACCGGCTAAATTGCTCAACGTATAACAATGTGTAAGGTATCGATGAAGAGGGGCGGAGGTAACGAATATGTTGAGACAAAAAACAAAGATGGCGGCGGAAAGGAACTAAAAGCTGTAAGAACTTTAAAAAATGATGACTCCATAAATGGAGTTATTACTCCAATACCATGTTCTTTCTTAGGCCGGTTACCTAGGCAAGGGCTTCATGCTAATGCATGATAACGCTCGATGTCACACAGCGCGGATTACGAAAAATTACGTAGCCAACACCAATATAAAACAATGGACTAGTAACAAAAAAAGTGTGAATGGGAAGAGTAGGACGCCAATGTAATAAAAATGTGTATGTGTAATGTAACACAAGTATTTGGACTAATGTAACAAATTACAATAGAGCGCCAATGTGACAAAAAACAAATTGAATTAAAGATGGCTAGCAGAAGGTGCCGGAGAGTGGCTACTTGACACTCAAATTTGGGGGACACACCTGAGGATTCGGCCAATTTGCATGCCTACAGAAACCGTAAAATAAGAAAAAGAGTGACAAGTTAATAAAAAAATATAGAAATAATGTAAATGAAAGTGATAAACTATGAAACTTGCTCCAAGAGGTGATTATGAGTCAGAAAAGTATTAACAGATATAAAGAAGTCATAAAGAATTCGAGGTCACTGAACGCATTCTAACAAACGATTTAAATGCCCTAGGGAATTATTTCCGAAAATGGAGATTGCAACCCAATCCAACTAAGACAGAAGTGTCCTGCTTCCATTTATATAACAAGATGGCCAACTATCAACCTCAAATCAATTTTGGGGATAGACTCCTTAAATATAATAAACACCCAAAATACTTAGGTGTTACACTTGACAGAACGCTGAACTTTAAAGAGCATCTTACTAAGACTGCTGCAAAACTCCGAACTCGTAACAACATCCTGCAAAAGCTCTGCGGCACTACATGGGGCTCCTCAGCACCCACACTTAGATCGACAGCATTAGGACTGGTATACCCCGTAGCGGAATACTGTGCACCAGTATGGATAAACAGTCCACATACTCACCGTGTTGATGTCCAACTCAACCAAGCCATGCGAACTATATCGGGCACAATCAAGGCCACGCCCACTTACTGGTTTACCAGCTTTGAGTCATATAGCTCCACCACCCATCCGCCGGGAACATGCCCTTGTCAGAGAATTTACAAAAATCAATACTGATCCTGAGCTCCGCTCCCATGTCGGAACTTCCGCCAGAGACATAAATAGGCTCCGTTCAAGACATCCGCCTCTAAAAACAGCAAAAAGGCTAGTAGATCAAAACTTTAATGTAACTGAACGGTGGAGAGAACAATGGGAGAATAACGCTGAACCAGCTAACTGAACATGCCATGTATTACAAGCAACCTGAGGGCTTCAACCAACCGAGACGAATTTGGACCACACTCAATAGAATAAGGACGAACTGTGGCAGATGTTCCGACTCACTTTTTAGATGGGGAAAAATACAATTACCAAATTGCGACTGCGGCGCCGAAAGCAAACAGTAAAACACATGGTAGAGGAATGCCCGATTAGATCCTATAATGGCAACCTTTCAGATTTCCTGGCTGCTACAAAAGAGTCAATCGAGTATATTTATAATCTAGATGTTTGTTTGTAGAATAATATTTTTTTATATTTACTGTTTTGTTTGTAATTTATATCATTTATATATTTATATTTATATGAACCTGTGATATAGCCATACGCTAAATAAATAATTAACAGATAGTTTCCAAGCTATCTTGTAAAGCTGTTTGCTGAAATAAAAAGGAAAACATATATTAATTGAAATATTTAATCTTCAACAATTCAGTATTTAGGCCTCCAATACGTCCGGATATGAATCCCATCGAGCACCTATGGGATAAACTTAAACGCAGGGTTTGGGTCCGTAATGCAGCACCAGTGACAGTGACGGAGCTAAAACTGCATTAGATAAAGAGTGGGAAGCGAATCCTCAAGAATCAGTCAGAAACTTAATAAAAACTGAGAAATAAAAACTAAGAGATCGCATGGAAAGTGTAATACAACTCAGAAGAGGAAATACCCAGTATTAATTTTGATTCTTTATGTTAATTTACTTTTATATTCATTACATAATGACTTTCATGTACAAACATTTTTCCTCACATACAATAGTAAGTTATCTTTATTGTTATTTACTTACTAACTTTATAAATAATGGTGTCATTGCACATATATTGTGGATATAACTGGCCAAACAGAGTAGTCAAAAAATATAACTTATTTTACTTTTAAGTCGATTGTTATGCTCGTAAGTGCGTTATATAATAATTATTAAACAAAAAGTGTGTATACCTACAAATTACATACAAATTAAATATTTAAAATTAAAACTAGAAACTTACCAAAAAGTCGAAAACGCTTAGTCCTAACATTTCAAAAGTAATACACATATGGCCATAATAGTCGAACCAGTCCAACATTTTTACACATAAACTGAAAAATAAAGAATAAAATTATATATTTATTTGAAACTAAGACACAAACGATATATTAATTGCCGACTACAAGTATATGCGATATGTTCATTATTGGCGAATATATTTATGGAAGATATTGAAACAAATATTATTTTTGAACAAAATTTAAATGATGCTTTAACTGCAGCAAACACTTGAGAAACAAACACAATTCATTAAAGAAGTACTCACAAAGACAAAAAAGCAACTCCCAAATACAAATAATAGAAAAGTGAGTCTGAAACCAATATTACATACTATGGAGAATAACCAGCTAAGTTGGTACAGTCATTTTGTAAAATGGAAGATAGTAGACTGGTCAAAAGAGTTTACGAATCAAAAAGAATAAGAAGCAGAATGGAAGGACAACAAATACTGGAAATAAGAAGAAATAAAAATCATGAGAAATATAAGAATTGCTCAGGACAGGAAGGGGTGGAAAAATGGATAGAATTAAGAAAAGGTATCACCGACGCCTCTAATGGGACATAAGGTGTCACCAGTTAAAAGAAGAAGTAGAAGAAATATTTACTAATCAAATAAGTATTAATATTGTTCTGAAGCTATTTTCTTGTGGCATTGTAAATTAATTACTATTTATAACTGGGAATAAGCCACAATTAAAGATAAAAATACGTTTATTGACGTTTCAATTTCCAATTCGGAAATCGTTCTCAAAATACAAACAGTAAATTAAACAAATTTTGTTTTTTGTTACATAGTAAAAAAATTCTTCTAATAATTTAATTTTATCTGACTCATTTATATTGACAATTCAGACATACATTATGCATTTTAAAGTAGACGACTTTAAAATGATATTGTCAATATTGTTGAGTTGCGCTCCTGGGACGACTTTACTTATAAGATAGTTCATTCGATTACATGAAATCAACTTTAACTTGAGAATATCCGTCAGAAAAAATCATACCATGTAATTCGTCTTTAAAAAGACAAACACATGACATGATGACAGTAAAATTCTCCTGTTAGTGATTTCATAGTAAATTATGAGGAAAAACCAGGAAAAAAACCTCATAATACTATCCCGACATTGTAAGTATTTGTTCGTGAATTTAGTTTACCTTCAACAAACATCAAAATTCTGATTTTATATGTTACGTTATTTAAAAAAAAACATAAATGATGTATCCGCTATATGTTACTGACTTACTAATACTGGTATTTTCTTATTAATAACTTCCTCTTTCAATATTGGTAACCAGATCCTACTACATTCTGCGAGGAATTTGCGACACAATTGGCCTCATTTAGCATAATTAGAGCCGCTTCTTTGATTTTTCTTTTTTTGCCATCCGTTTCTTTTAGGACTATATTTGAATTATTCCATTGAACCTTATGTTCATTATCCCATGCGTGTTTACATATTTGAGATCTATCAAATTCTCTATTTTTAATATAAGATTGATGTTCACTTATTCTAAGATTTAATGGCCTTGATGATTCACCTAAATAAAACTGATCGCATTCACAAGGTATTTTATAAATGCAATTCTTTGTCCTTTCTTGTTCATTGTTAGGTTTGGTTTTGGACAAAATAGATCTCAACGTGTTTGTTGTTTTGAATGTTGTTGAAATGTTGAATTTATTTCCTATCCTTTTAAGTTTTTCTGATAATCCTTTTATGTACGGTATTGTTATTTTCCTCATAGTATTCCTTGTGTATGCTGTAGGATCTCGTTCTAAGTTGTTCTGTTCTATTCGATCGATTGTTGAAAATTCCTTATTTATAAACGATAAAGGATAATCATTTTTTAATAAAACAGATGTTAACAAATGTTTCTCCTCCAAGAACGAATTTTCGTTAGAACAAGTAATTTTGGCTCTATCGTATAAGGATTTAATTATTCCCTTTTTTACATTAATATTGTGATTTGATTTGAAATTTAAATATCTATTGGGTGTGTGTTGGTTTTCTATACACCTGAGTCTCATATCCAGTATCGTTCTTAGATATTAAAACATCCAGGAAAGGTAGCGTGTTATTATATTCCTTTTCCATGGTAAATGTTATTGTCTCTTCTTTATCGTTTATATCGTTTAGGAATGTGTCCAACAACTCTGATCCATGAGGCCATATTGAGAATACATCATCTACATACCTCCACCATACTATGGGTTTGAAATTTTGTTTAGAAATGATATTTGTTTCAAAATTTTCCATAAATATAAATTTTATATATACGTCAATAAACGTATTTTTATCTTTAATTGTGGCTTATTCCCAGTTATAAATAGTAATCAAATAAGTATTATTAATTAATGATCAAAACCAGCAAAAATATATACCAAAACAACACTTCTTCTTCTTCAGCCCGTATTCGTCCACTGCTGGACATAGGCCTCTACCATTTGCTTCCATTGATTTCTACTCTTGATCATTCTCATCCACTGCTTGCCCGTGACTTGTTTAATATCATCTGCCCACCTCTTCTGTGGTCTGCCTACTCCTCGCGTGTTCTCTCTTGGTCTCCAGTTTGTTAATATCTGTGTCCATTTTTCGGGATTATCTCGGGCAACATGTCCGACCCATTACCACTTGACCCTTGCTATACGTTCAGCGACATTAGTAATCTTTGTTCTTTTCGAATGTCGATATTTAGAATCCTGTCTCTCAAACTAATCCCTAGCATCCCTGATGACCCTCTCCATCGCTTTTTGGGTTGTACCTACTGAGCTGCTCTAAGGTTTTCTTTGTAAAGGCCATGGTCTCCAGTTCGTACGTAGTTAATATTAATAGTGTCTCCTTTCTTGTGTAAAAGTATTATTTCAGCGTTTTCCCACAGACTGGCTATTCTTTTTTCTGTTAGACACTTATTCAACAAAACTTCCACAACCTCTACAACGATGTTGCAGCCCATTTTTAACATTTCAGACGTTATACAATCCTCACCAGGAGCTTTTTTATTTTTCATTTGCTGTAAGTTTGTATTTACATGATTATTTGAGTTTTTTCCGTCACCGTATTCTCCTGTTGGTTTTATTTTCTGATTTTAATTATTTTTGATATTCCTTTAGTTAAATTTGATTTCAATACTCTCATGTTTCTATTTTTTTCGATTGTTTGCAATATTTGTTTTGTTTGATAAGTTCGCAAGTCTGACCTGATGCTCTTTTTAACTTTATTGTTGACAGCCTTATACTCTGGTGATTCTTTCGATGTTCTTCTTTCTTCCATTAAATCCAGTGTTGTTTGTGGTTCTTGGTTTTTCTCTAATTTTTATTTTTACCACAGATTTTTTTTGCAGTTGATGTTATGTTATTCGTTAATTTTTTTAGTCTCTTTTTTTTTGGTTCAGTTTGATATTCCTCTTTATTCATTTCTAGGGCTTCTATGTTTGGTAATTTATCCTGTCATAATAATTTTCTTCTATAGAATTTCGTATTTACTTCTATTCGCACCCTAACTAATCGATGGTCACTACCAGTGTTGTCAGAATTTAATACAGTAACATCTTTAGTTTTTGAAGTTAGAGAGTATAAAGTCAATTTAATTTTTTACTTTGCCGTCTGGGCTGTGCCACGTCCATTTTCTCTGCATCTTTTTCTTGTAGAAAGTGTTTAAGTAGAATAATTTTTCTTTGCTGCGGAAATTTGCGAGAATATCTCCCATGTGATTTCTACTTTCCAGTACAAAATTTTCAATATATTCGTTGTCGTTGTTATTTTCTTCTTTCCTTTTTGAGCGTTGAAATCTCCCGTAATTATTACGTAATATGTTTTCTCTAAGTTTCTGGCTCTTGTAATGTTTTCATAAAGTTGTTCTACCTCTTCATCATCTGCAGAAAAAGTTGGTGCATAACACTGGATTATTTTAATGTTGTATCTACAATTTAGTTTTATTACCAGATAGAACTCTATTAGCAATCGCTTAGAATTTAGTTCATAAGTTTTCAATTCTCTTATATACCAAAAAGCCTACGCCTCCTATACCTTCGTTATTTCCTGAATTGTATTGGTACAAAGTGTGCCATGATTTTAGTAGAGTCGTTTCTTCGCCTTTAAGCCTTGTCTCGCATAAGCCTACGATGTCCCATTTATGGTCTTAAGCTCTTCTTGCAACTCTTCTAGATTATCTTCTGTCCTCATCGTTCTGATGTTATATGTTTCGATGTGCATTATGTGTGTACTAAGCGAATTCTTGCCTCCCCCAGATTCTACGAGGCAGATCCGTTTATGGGTATGGGATTTGGCATAACCGTTGATTGAATAATCCAAAGCATAACATACTCCACCCACCTGGGGACTGTGTCCGTTCGTATTAGTATTCGCCATTTCTATATAGTTGGAAGGATGAGTAGCCTTAAAACACCACGTTGGCTAGACGGATTGGTGAGTTTTATATCAGCCGCTCACTCTGGGTCAGACGCTGTTCGTAGCTGTCCATTCTGGATCAGACGCTACTGTTTTGATTCTATATTAACCCTATAATCGAGGGTTGCCACTTCTGTCATCCGCACCATACCGAAGCTCCGCTTCTCCGCCATGGCTACCGTTGAGAACTTCATCCGTAACCCTGGACAAGGGACCCTAAATAGGTACTAGTTTCCCGGAAACCCCGGAATCTGCGGGGGGCAAAGAATGATTCATTTTCCCTGATAGGACTATCTTCAAGAATTTAAAGAGTTCCTACCCGCTACCAAAACAACAGAATAAAAGTAAAAGTAGAAGAAGAACTAACTGACCCTATTGATTTTCAATGGGATATAACAGGGAGTTTTCAATTATTCAACCTGATCATGGATGAAATAATAAATAAAAGTGAGAACTAAAAAAGGATACCAAATGGGTGAAAAACAACGTAAAATAATCTACTATGCAGACGACCAAGTAATACTACTACTATGCAGACGACCAAGTACTACCTACTGTCTCAAAGTGAGAATGATTTACAATTATTATTATTTACAATTATTAATATTTCATATTACCGCCAGAAAATTTAACATGTTGATT